GGCAGCAGGGCTTCCCTGGTGGCGCAGTGGTTGAGAGTCCGCCTGGCGATGCAGGGGACACGGGTTCGTGCCCCGGTCTGGGAAGATCCCACATGCCGCGGAGTGGCTAGGCCCGTGAGCCATGGCCGCTGAGCCTGCGCGTCCGGAGCCTGTGCTCCGCAACGGGAGAGGCCGCAACAGTGAGAGGCCCGCGTGTCGCAAAAACAAACAAAAAAAAACAGTGGCAGGGTTTGAGAGGGCTGACTCCAATTTTGAAAGAAGTTCTACTTCATGAAAGGAAGAGTCAATCGATGTGGCAAACTTCATTGTTGTCTTATTTTAAGAAACTGCCACAGCCACCCCAGCCTTAGCAACCACCACCCAGATCAGTCAGCAGCCATCAACATCTAGGCACAGATGATGGTTAGCATTCTGAAGCAATAAAGTATTTTTTTAATTAAGGTATGTACATTGTTTTATTAGACAATGGTATTGCACACTTAATAGACTACAGTATAGTGTAAACATAGCTTTTATTTGCATTGGAAAACCAAAGAATTTGTGTGACTTGTTTTACTGCAAAACTCGCTTTACTGCAGTGGTCTGCATCTGATCCTACAGTATCTCCAAGGTGTGCCTCTGCTGTGAGCTTCCTAATTAGTCTGTGAGCGTCAACAGAAGCAGAGGCAATGTCTGTAGTGTCACCTACTGAATGTTCAGCAGCTAGCAAACTACTTGGAATGTACTTTGTAGAGAAACAGTAAATACAGCATTTTTAGAAAACTCACTAATGAAGAAAGCAAGTATATTAAAAGATCAACTAATGATGGCAGCCCTATTAGTTAAGGTTTTCCAGAGAAACAGAACCAATAGGATACAGACAAAGGGAGATTTATTTTGAGGAATTGGCTTATGTGATGATAGAGGCTGGCAAGTCCCAAGATCTGTAGGATGAACTGGCAAGCTGGAGACCCAGGAGTGCTGATAGCTTAGTTCCAGTCCAAGTCTGAAGGTCCAAGAACCAGGGGAGCCGATGCCCAAGTTCAAAATTCTTCCTTCCAGGAAGGAAGAATTCTCTCTTGCACAGGGAAAAGTCAGCCTTTTTGTTCTATTCAGGCCTTCAACTGATTAGATTAGGTCCACTCACATTATGGAGTGCAATCTTCTTTACTCAGTCTACTGATTTAAATGTTAATCTCACCCCAAAACATCCTCACAGCAAAATCCAGTATAATGTTTGACCAAATATCTGGGCACCCTATAGACCAGTCATTAATTTTCGTACATAAAATTATTATATCAGCCAAATAATCCCATGGGTCTGTCTTTTTATTGGCCATTAAATGTCCTTATGTCTCCAAAATATTAATGTCAAAGCCAAAATCCTAACACACAAAGGGTTTTAGGAAAGTCAGTTTGTCTGACATGTTGCTGCACAACTCTGTTTATGATTTTCCTTTCCTAACTGCTGAGGTGGATTTTACTTCAAAAACATAAAAGCCAGAAAATGATAGTAGAACTAATCATGTTAGATGGTCCATGGGCTCTCCCTACATCCCCATCACCACCACAGATACATTCCCAACAACTAACACAAGTCTGTGTGTTTTTTTCTGAAGCTCCAGAGACAACTAAAGTAAGTCACTGTAAAGAAAAAGAAATTTAGACATGGATACTCAATACAATTTTTTGCAGAGTCTAAGGGAAAGAATTTTAAATAAAAAGTTAGCTATTGAATATTTACAGGGATCCTCTTAAAGGATGATCCACAGTCTCTATCTGTTTCTCTGTACGTCCTTCCTCATCTTTCCATCCTCAAAGATGCAAATCTGTACCCTTATTTTGAAGAAATGCTCAGTCTTGTCATGGGGTCCATTGCCTTCCCCTATCCATGGCTCACAGTAACACAATTACACATTCTAGTACATTTTCTGAAGAGTATTCCTTCTATAAAAAGGGGGCAAAGACCTCCAGCAAAACACTGCACAGTGGAAGAGTTTTGACATTCCAAATCTAGTTGATCTCAGTGGCTTTTAATACATTGGGTTCTTTCATTAGTCAGCTCTCCAAATGTTATGGACTGAACGTTTGTGTTGTGGTTGCCAAGGGAGAGGGCCGGGGGGAGAGGGATGGACTGGGAGTTTGGGGTTGGCAGATGCAAACTATTACATTTAGAATGGATAAATGACAAGGTCTTACTGTATAGCACAGGGAACTATATCAAATCTCCTGCGATAAACCATAATGGAAAAGAATATTTTAAAAGAATGTACATATGTGTATAACTGAGTCACTTTGTTGTACAGCAGAAATTAGCACAACATTGTAAATTAACTATATTTCAATTAAAAAAAAAATCACATGTTGAAATCCTATTCCCCAATGTGATGGTACTAGGTTTGGCCTTTGGGAGGGAATTAAGTAATGAGGGTGGAGTCTTCACGAATGGGATTAGTGCCCGTATAAAAAGACACAAGGGAGCTTGCTTTCTCTCTCTCTACTCTCTGCCATTGTGAGGATGCCATGTACTATGGTGGCACGCTGATCTTAGACTTCCAGCCTCCAAAACTGTGAGGAATATATTTCTGATAAGCCACCCAAGCTATGGTATTTGTTATCTCAGTCCAAATCGACTAAGACACCAAACATACAATATTTACTGTGTCCCTACTACATGCCAGGCCCTATTCATTTTGAAGGGTCCACCACCAATATAAGGTAAAGATATGTCCCTTCTCACTTTCAACCATCAGAACACAGTATATATATACGCACATACATGCAAATACACTTCATGGGAAAACAATACTTTCCCAAATGTAAATTTCTCTGCAAAAGTTTCCCCTGCCCACAGTGCAGATAGCCTTTTTTTTTTTTGCAGTACTCGGGCCTCTCACTGTTGTGGCCTCTCCCGTTGCGCAGCACAGGCTCCGGACGCGCAGGCCCAGCGGCCATGGCTCACGGGCCCAGCCGCTCCGCGGCATGTGGGATCTTCCCAGACCGGGGCACGAACCTGTGTCCCCTGCACGGCAGGTGGACTCTCAACCACTGCGCCACCAGGGAAGCCCCGCAGATGGCCTTTTACATTTCAATACAGGGCAAGTGGTCTGAGTTCCTCTATATGCACTGTCTTGTTCATACCAAGTCAGGCTATATTTCTGCCTAAGAAACTAGCAGAGAACAGCATGCATATGCAACATAAACATCCGCCTCACATAACCACTCCTAGATACAAATGACTTGAAAAGAAAATTTGAAGTTATCATTTTTTTGTTTCTCCTTTTACCATTTTCCAAACTCCCCCTGCCCCCACTTCCACACAACTGGTTTCAGTAGGCAGAAGGGGAACAGAAGTGGGTAAAAAGGATGGGCATTCCTTCCAGTTACACAAATATATACCATGTATATATATGTATATAAATACGCACATATACATATACATGTATTTACATAGTCAAACTTCATGTGCCTTAAAATAAAATGTAACATGTTGTCAGAGGAAAGCTCTTTCCCAAATGAAACTTTGCAAGATGGATTTTTAAAGTAGGATCATACTGCAGTCACTGGGTTCTTGAAAGGTGACCTCCACCCACAACTACATTAGTCAGCAATTCAATTTCCTCAGTATCTTAAAGAGGTGATAATAGCTGCAAATTGTCCTGACATATGCTACCAGCTACTTCTTTAAAACAACAGTTATACAACTTGCTTTCTCTCAATTTGAATTTTTTTTAAAAATGTTCTTCTTTAACAGTAGTTTTACATTTTCAAACTCAAGTTTGGAATTGAAAGTTGGGAACTCATATGTGCAGGAAGATCCAACAGCCAGTCTCAACTAAGCATATTAAAGTCACTTTTACGGATACATAATTGCACCTTTTCTCAATCTCATTACTGAGATTGGTAGGTGGGGTGGGTAATATTAACCACAGTTCAGAGTAGGCGAAATGGAAGCTTAAAGAAATTAGAGTGTGAATATTCTCAACTCTGTCTTGAGTCCCCATTCTTCCATTACCCCAAAGAACTCTTGTACTATATCATCATAGATTCAACAAAACTTTATGTAATAGCCTCATAAAATTCTAACTTTAATGCCTCCTGTTTATCTGAGTGCCAAGCTTGTGATTCCAAATGTCTCTTGTCCATTTCTTGTTGTATATTTGACCATAATTCAAACTGAACTGAACATCTCCTATGACCTTTTTCTCCTTCACTAATTCCTATTGCTAGCACCTCCATAACCAGCTCTGACTTAAAAACCTTCAGATTTTTAGGGATTCTCCCATCCCTTTCCACAAATAAAATTAGTGTGATGTCATCCAACTCCTCCCCTCAGAAACCTTCAGTAGCTCCCCATTTTCTACCACAATTAGCTAAAACTTCTCCCAGGTCCTTAGCATCCTTGAATAACAGGTGGAAATCATCTTCTCTACCAACTTCATTTTCAGTTGCTACCCATCCCTTGTCCTGGTTCTAATCAAATTTGCATACTTGACTGCCTTGTAAAGATACTAGAATCATTCTTGAATGTCTACCTTTTATGTTTTTCTTTTTACCCGAAATACTTTCCACCAATGACTCAGTCATCACTATTCTTTCCTTGTATGGCTGCTAAAATTAATGTCTACACCAAAAATTCAGCTATTCAACATTTTGGTATGATTTATTACTTGCTTTCTGAAATTTTTCTCATCTTTGAAATTCTTAAAGAAAATATGAAAATAGATAAGTTGAATTTTATATACCTTCCCAAGTACCCTAGCCCAGAGATTAGACACACTCAAGCAATGTGGGTGGCAAGGGTAGTTCTGAACTAGAAATCTGCAAGCTTAGCCTACTAGCTTGCAGTGTGATTTTGGATAACTCATTTAACCTCCTGGATTGCAAGATCTCTATCTACAAATATAGGAATAGTAAAATAGGGGGAAAAAATCCCTCAAAACTCATTTCCTGCCCATCTTCATGATTCACCCACTGAATTATTCCCATCAGCATATAAATAGTGATATCACCATCACCCAGACCCCTCACTGCCTTCCAGCAACCACTCCATTTTTCTGATGCCCTTTATGGCCAGGCTGCTCAAAAATGTTATTCCATTGGTTTTTTTTTCACTTCCATTTTTTCCTCAGCCCATTCTAATCAGATACTTTGCTTTTTGCACACTAGTAAACGATGTGTGTTAAGGTAACAAATTATCTCCATTCTGCCAATCCAGTGATCAATTCTTAGTTCTCATTTGACTGAATCTATTAGCAGCATTTAAAATTACAGATCACTCTATCCTTCTTTTTTGTTTGTTTGGGGTTTTTTTCTTCCAGTTTTATTGAGCTATAACTGACATACAGCACTGTATAAGTTTCAGGTGTACAGCATAATGATTTGACTTACATACGTCATGAAATGGGTACCGCAATAAGCTTAGTGAACATCCATCATCTCCTATAGATACAAAACAAAAGAAGTAAAAAAAATTTTCCTTGTGATGAGAACTCAGTATTTACTCTCAACAATTTTCATATATAACACACAGCAATGTTAATTTTATTTATCATGTTGTACATTACATCCCTAGTACTTATTTACCTTATAACTGAAAGTTTGTATCTTTTGACCACTTTTATACAATTCCCCCTCCCCGGCCCCTCGCCTCTTGTAACCACAAATCTGATCTCTTTTTCTATTAGGCATTTTGTTTGTGTACTTGTTTTTGAAGTATAAATGACCTACAATATTATGTTAGTTCCTGTTACACAATATAGTGACTCGATACTTTTGTACATTTCAAAATGATCATCATGATAAGTCTAGTTACCATGTCACCATGCAAAGGTATCACATAATTATTGACTATATTCCCCACACTGTACATTTCACACCAGTGACTCATTTATTTTGCAGCTATAAGTTTGTACCTCAATCTCCCTCACCTATATCTCGCTTGAGAGAGAAAAGTCCTTCTTGAAATACATGCTTAGCCTGCCTCCTAGAATGCCACACTACTCTGAGTCTTTCTCTTATCTCACCTTCTCCTACCTCTTACCTACCAAGGCTCTATCCTCAGCCCATTTCTCTTTTCAACATACATTAATTCACTAGACACACATTTAACTTTAATATCATCTACACATATATGCTCAAACCTATATCCATTTGTAACCTTTCATTTACACCTTTCATATACACTGCTTATTAAACATCACCACTTGGATGTCTAATAGGCATCTCACTTTTAACATGTCCAAGATAAAACCCTTTAACAGGGCTTCGCTGGTGGTACAGTGGTTGAGAGTCTGCCTGCCGATACAGGGGACACGGGTTTGTGCCCCGGTCCGGGAAGATCCCACATGCCGCGAAGCAGCTAGGCCTGTGAGCCATGGCTTCTGAGCCTGCGCATCCGGAGCCTGTGCTCCGCAACGGGAGAGGCCACAACAGTGAGAGGCTCATGTACTGCAAAAAAAAAAAAAAAAAAAAAAACCCTTTAACAAAACTTGCTCTCTTTAAAATCTCCAAATTTTCTCTTCCCTTACACTTCCCCATCTCTGTAAGTGGCAATACCTCTCCTTCCATCAACAAGGTCAAATGCACTGGAGACTTTCTTGACTTCTCTCTTTTCCCCAACCTACACATATTACCTATTAGCAAATCCTATTCATTAAACTTCTGACACTTATCCTGATTTCATTCTCTTCTCACCACCTCCATCATCACAACCCTAGTAGAAGCAAGGATGCTACTGGCCTAAAATTGTCATTGTACAAAAATTTTAAAGGTACCCACTTGGGGCAGGAATATCATTGGATGAGAAAATGGGGCATCTGTGAGATTTAGAAAATATATGCCCCTCCTGTGATCACATGGCTTGGCAACAGATGAACTTTGCAATGATTGGAAAAGGCTCTCCTTCCTCTAGGTGAAAACAACCCTTGCCAGGGCGTAAAGCTTGGAGAGCAGAGCTCTAGCTGTATTTCAGCCCCTACTTGATCCTCATCCTGCAAAACTGTGCTTAGCAGCCCTGAGTCCAAGCCACCACCACCTCTCACCTAGAAAACTGCAATCACTTCCTGTTCACCTCCTCGCTTCAGCAGGTGTCCCACCACATCCAGTTCTCCATAAAACTTCCAAAGTGGCATTTCTGAATTATAAAGCTAACAAGAACTCTCTCCTTGACCAAACTTGAGTCAGCCCCTCCCTCCCCTCTTCTCCACTAGGCCCCAAACTTAGGCTCTGTCCTTGGCCTGCTAAGTCCAGTTTTAGCAAGAAAACTCACCCCCCACCTTTGGTTCTGATGACCCTTGATATCTTACTGCTCTGGCCAGCCTTCAGCAAGAATCCTGTCAAAGCATTTTGGCCAGAACACACTTTACCTCTGATGTTTCCTCTTAGGAATTTTCTACCTACTGACCGCCATGCCCAACTCCTTGGCTACATATCCATACTTGTCCATATTGTATCGGGAGTGGAGCCCCATCTCTCTACCCCACTGCAAAATCCCCCTTGCAGAAGTCTCCTCTTGAATAAAGCCTTTCTTATCATCTTTAACCATTGTCAGGAAGAATTTTTCTTGAACAAAGTAGATCTCAGGACACGCTGACTCAAAGGTCGCCAATGACTTCCCAATCACACTCAGAATAAAATGCAAACTGCTTACCGTGGCCAAGAAGGCCTTGCATGATATCACTCTTCCTCTTTCTTTGCTTCATCTCTCTACATTTCTGCCATGTTCACTCCTGTCTAGCCATGTGGCTTTCTTGCTGTCTCTCCAGCCCACCAAGCTTATTCTGCCCTAGGTCTTTATAGCTGTTGCTTCTTCTACCTATAATCACCTCCTCTAAGACCTTAGCAAATATTGCTATATCAATTTATCTCAGTCCTCTTTAAAAAGTTCCTTCCTGTCTTTTATCTAAAATAGCACACACACAAACTTTCACTCTCTATCCCCTAGCCCACTTACTTGTTTTCATAGAATTTATTACAGTATGATATTTTTTATACTCATTCATTTTTTTATTATTTGTTTTTCCTTCTAAGTTGTGTAGTTGCTAAAGGAGAAAGTATCTATCCTATCACTATATCCTCCAATGTCTAGAACACAGACTGGCACTAGTGGATACTCAATACTTGTTGAATGAATGAATGATAATTACCGTGCTTATAAGCCACCTTTACAACTGTTTATTGACATTGTTTTATTTAAATTGAATGTCTTTGTTACTTAAATGGCTATATTTTAAATGAAAATTTTTTTCATTTAAATTAGAAAATGAAAATTACTAATTAGCAGTAGCATTTGACACATAGAAGGTAATCAGAAAATGGATATATTGAAAACAAAATAGTATTTATGGCATTTCAGTTAGCTATTATTCTCATCAAAGACTCTGAACGTGGACCTTCTTCTATTAAAAAAGATTACAAGGTATTGGAGAAGTGATAAGAACTCACCAGCACCATACTGAGAATTTCTCCTCCTGAGTAAATCAAAACAATCAAGAGAAAACTAAAAAAGAGAAAACTTTTTTTACTTATGAGATTCAAAGTAATTAAATGCCATGCCGTTATACTACGTAAAATCATCACACATGTCATCAGTAGGTAACTTTTCACTAACTGGGATGCCCTGCACTAGGTGGTTAAGCCCTTCACACCTCTGACTCTGTGAGGAATAAAAGTAGCTTGCCCAGGGTCACACAACTGTTCAGGGTGTACGAATACTTGGAACCAGATTTTCTGATCCAATCTCATGGCTCTGTCCACTAAATTAATCATCTCCCCCATTTGACATCAAAACTATAGTTGCCTTCTTTCTATACACCTGTAACCTAGCTTTGGCCTTCCCTAAAGTGATCAAGTATTCCCAAGTCTCTGGCCATGAATTGCCCTCAAAGCTTACCCACGGGTTAAATCAAGGTCTAGGAGAATAACAAATTTTACAATCCTTAATGCAAAGTCAATTACACCGCTCTTTTTTTAACAGCTTACATTGTCTGCATATGTGAAATGAAGTTGATGTGCAGTCAAAATGACAGAAACAGATGCTTCTGCCATCACTTAATATGAAACATAACTTTCCATGCTGTTGAACAGAAGGTTCTCAGCTGCAGAGGCTATAGGTACAAAGGGTCTTACATTTTAGAATCCATGGAGTATAAAATGTCTCCAACCTTTTCCCCAAACACGTTTTGTTTTGTTCATTGAATGCTATACATTCCTCTATTGGTTTAGGTTATAAGCCCCACTGCTTAATGGTCGTCCACTGGTTGACAGTCTCATTCCTGCTTCTAAGATATAAATATCCAGATAGAAAACCTGAGCTTCTGACCACCCTAAGCTTGACAAACACATTCATTACAAATGGTTGTCATAGCAATAAGCAGAGTATTACAAAACCAAGATAGAATAATACATTCCCATAAAATTTAGATAACTTAAAATATCCAATCAACGATCTTTAAGGTAAAATTCTACATCTGCTATAGTATAATGGTGATTTAAATGCCCATATTCAGCAGGTTTTCCAGTCTTAATTTATTCATTACTCAACAGTCATTTGTTGTTAGGAAGCAACATAATATGGTGAATAGGATAAGAAATTTGGTAATACATACTGCTGGGTTCGTATCCTGCTTCTCCCACTTACTAGTTCTATGGCCTAGGATTAGACACCTGGCTCTCCTGAGACTCTGTTTCCTCTTCTACTTTAGAAATGATTATGCCTTTCAAGACTCTTGTAGAATTAAATTAAGTAACATGTGAGTCCAGTGTTTGAAAGCTACTAGGCAACTAACAATCAACCCCTCTTCCTTCCCTTGAGGGAGCCTCTCCTACTATGTGCTGTTATATGTATAAACACAAAGATAAGGGGTAGAGTTGTTGACTCAAGAGTTCACAGTATAAAAAAATTCAAATTCTTTTCTACCTTAGTGCCACACATAGGATTTCTCAGTCTAGGAAGCTGGACACAATTCTACTCTCCTCTGATATCTTGTTCCCTTGTCATATTCAGATCTTAATCTAAATGTCATCTCTGAAGAAGAGTCTATCCTGACTAGCCCCTAACACATACAATGAGTCTTAATTCCAACATCCCATTTCTTTCTTTCATGGTTTCTATTACTATTTATATAATCATTATATGTGTGTACCTGTGTGTATTTTCCTCCACTGCTCGATGTAAGAGGGCTGGGAACACATTTTTCTTATTACTAATACCCCTAGTTCCTTGTCTAATGCTTGGCACTTAGTAAGCACTCAAAAATATTTGTCCAATAAGTGAATAAAGTGTTGAGCAATAAAAACACATCTCTTTCATTTATGAAAATATTCTAAAGTAAAAACAAATATTAAACAACAAATTAAAAAATAATTGTCCAGTTATAATTGAGATAAGAAAATAAAATAGGAAAAAGATGCTAAGGATATTCATTTATGAATGAAGACAT